TGACCCCCCTCCCAAAAATAACACCCAGGTACTCATTTTACCGAGGGTGAACATTAACACGTGCAAGGAAACGCCAATTACCCCACCTTGCCGAAACTGAACCCGCCCCTAAGAGTAAATCAAGAGCTTCCCTACTGGCCACAGTAAATTTTATCTATTTCTGTATTTAAAATACTATAGGGTTTCATCTTCATGAAAAGTCTAGCAGTTTTTACCCTTTTCAAAAAAATTTTCATTTAAACTACAAAAAAAAAAAGTTTGAAAGGTGGTGTCCCTATTTTATTACAAGCTTAAATTCTGTACAATTATGTGTTAAATTCGTGGACTGTGCAGGTCGTATTTGTTATTTACCCTTTTAAAGGGGCCCAACTTCAGGTTCTCCTTTTAGAAAATTACATTTTCTAGTTTGCCCCTTGTGAAGAAAGTGTTCTAAATACTATTTACTATTATATAATTTTAAGTGTCAAGGCATAAAAGAGCTAATGCATGCCAGGAGCAAAAAACAGTTAAACTTGTTAAAAAATTGAGTAAGCCATAAATATCAAAACAAATTTTGGCAGGGAAAAAAAACAAAATTCAGTTTTTAAAACTTGCCTTCCCATTAATGCATCAAATTTACGGGCCCCCAAACAGTGTGTGTGCCCATCGGGGTTTCCCCTATTTTCATCCATCAGCAGATTAATCCCATCCAGCAACCCTGCACCTGAAATAAAAAATGCAGAATAATATTGCTAAATGAAAAAAAGAGCACTGCTTAAAATGTAATAAATTTTCATTTGTGCATCAAAAGTCTATTTAACCCTATTACAGACTTACATTGGTTTGCCCTATCATTGGGAGCATTAAAGACTACTTCAGACAAGTTTTTGCATTGGGAAGGCCCCCAAATCTTTCACTGTAACCCCCTGAGTCTCTGAAGAAAATTGAAGCAAAATTTAAATATTCATTAAATTTCTTGTATATGAAAGCTAGTTAAATTATGGATCTGACCAAAAAGCCATTTTAAAGCAAAAATTGCCTTCTCCAAGTGTTTTGAGAAAATTAAAATTACATTTCACAAAGTGTACAAGAGCCACTAAATGTGGTTTGCAGTCGGAAAGTTTGGTAATTAAATTTTTAAAGCAACTGTTAAGTTCAGTTACTAGGGGTAAGAAATGTCCAGAATTTAGGACGAAACTTCAAGGAATGGGGGGGGGAGGGGTAATTTTTTATACCAATATGAAAATGTTAAAAGGGGGGTTAAAGGTAACTAGGCAAGGATAAGGGGTGTTTTAATTGCTATTATTATGAAATTGGATTTTTTCCCTTCATGCTTCAGGCAGCGAAAAATATTGCTTAACAAAGTTCAAACTGCAAATTAGTGTGAACTTAACATTTCATTAGCACATTTGGCATGGGGTGGGAATGGATCAAATTTCCCACAAAGCTTGAAATTGAGTTTTTTTGTATACCCCCTGAAAAACTCAAAAATGTGGTCTTGTTAATCTAATTATATTTGGAAGGTTAACACAAAAATAAACGTAAATCAGTCCGAAAAAAAAATTTTACAAATTTAAACACCAATTAAGATTTTGCCCTAACTGGGAATTTTATGTATAAATTTGCTAATTGCTGAAGACTTTTATGGCTTGCAAAAGTAGTAGGGTGGAAAAGTTTTCCCGTTGACAATATTTCGCTGAATATAAATGTAAACATTTATGTTCACCCAAAAATTTTCAGTGGAAATCCATTATGGAAAAATCTTAACCCCCCCAATGATAAATGTTCTTCATTTCAAGAAAAGCTTGTGTTTTAGTAGCAAGTTGACCATTGACCCAAGACACCACTGCCAGACTTTCCCAATATTGATGTCCAACACTAAAATTTTTAACTGCAGTGGTTGCTGAACTCCAAGTTGCAAGTTTAAACCTGCCAAAAAAAAAACTTGCTTTTAAAAATTTTTTGCAAATGGAAATGTTTTTTTTTTAACTTCCAGTTAACTGTTTCTTACAGTATCTCATATCCATAACACTGTCCCTGTACGCTCCCCAAAATTCCTCATTTATCGGTTCACGTATGAACTTACATTAACATCGCCAAGAAATTCTACAGTGCCCGTTTGGGGAAAAAAAATTTTTTATCCTCGTGACCCGACATTACCACTGATGTATTACCCCAACAAGCTATGACACCAAATTGCTATGAAAGTTTAAATATGATCTTTTTAAGTGATTAGTTTAATTTTTAAAACCAATTAGTACAGTATTTAAGTTCATTATTACAGGCCTATAAAATGCTTTTGTCCAGTAGAAATATTTCCCCAGTAGCCATTCGAAGTCTTAAACCAGTATTTACAAAATCCAATAAATTCCATACTAAACCCTTTGGCATGGATGCTTTTGAGGTAATGTTTGCCAACTATCATGGAAAACTAACCTTTAACCTTTGGGGTTTTGTCGTATAGTAGCTTACGCGTAGGGGTTTTTGAGTCTGTACGCATAAATTTAGTGGCCCCCAAATTAGTGGGAGAAAGCTGGTAGGCCTTATATGAAAGAATGGGGCTATGTGGTCAGTGTGCACAGTCTAAAAAAACCGCGACAAGTGCTAATGAGAAAAAAAAATGACCATTTTTTTTTGGAAAAAAATCAGCGATTTGAGTTATTTTTCTATGGTATTTTTTGTTTTATTCGTTTTCTTGGTCTCATTTTATAGAATGGAAGACATTACAGAAATTGAGATGATTTTGGCTGGTTTTACAATGAAAGGTGCCTTGAAATTGAGCTCAAAGTAGCAGAAATGTTCGATTTTTACCAAACTTCAAAAGTAAACAAATCGTGCCAAGCGTGCAATACACGTCAACTGGTGAGTGATCTTTCACAAGTGCACCAATAATATTTATACCATTTTTTTACACTAATGCAGTAGTCTGCATAACAGTAAATCTTTTATTTTTTGTGAGAATAAAAATTCAAAATGGAAAGCAAAAGAATATAAGAGGGGCCTTGAGACGTTACTAATGACTAGAGGAAATGTCATTTTAGTGCCAGGAATGTCTTGTTTATTCTGGACCCTATTTGGAAATTGGCATCTTTTGAAATTTGTGTGAAATTGGCAAAATTGCTAAATTCTGACCACTGTACTGGATAGTTGAATTTCATAAATGGGTGGTTTCTTGCACCCATTCGATAGAAAAAATGGAGTTCTAGCGAAATATTCATGTTTTTTGTCGACTAGTACAGCGAAATTGGCCGAAAATGGGGCTCAAAGTGGGCAAAATCGCCGATGCGTAAACATCGCCGAGACCGCTAACTTTGCGAGAGCATAATTTCGTAAGTTTTCTATCAAATTTCAAACTTTTGGTGTCTTTATGATCGGGAAAAGATTCTCTATCTTTTCATAAGAGATTTTTTTTTTTTTTAAATTTGGCCGACCCTGAGAACGAGTTTCGGAGAGGGCCTGTCGACCCTCAAAGGGTTAAAGGGGGCTTATGAATTTTTTTTCCTGCCATATGGAATGGCAATAGTGTCAGTTATCCACAAAGCCACAACTGGGCAATACCAAACTAATATGAAGAATTTGCAGAAGGTACGACCTGAAATCCTCAGTATTTAGTTTTTCTCTAACCCCTTGACTGCCGCAACCCCCAATCCTGAGGCGTCTCCTGGTGTCGCAAAATTAAAAAAAACATTTCTTATGAAATGATAGAGAATCTTTTCCCGATTGTAAAGACACCAAAAAAAACTAAATTTGATGGAAAACTGACAGAATTACGCTCTCGCAAAGTTAGCAACCTCAGCGATATTTACAAAGCGGCGATTTTGCCCACTTTGAGCCCTATTTTGGGCTAATTCCATTATTCCAGTTGACCAAATTCGGCTATTTCTTCAGAACGCCATATTTTTTTTCTATCAATTTAGTACAAGAAACTGCCCATTTACTGATTTCAACTACTCAATAACATGTTCAGAAATTTGCAATTTGGCCAATTTCACGAAAATTAAAAAATATGACAATTTCAAAATAAGGACCAGAATGAACAATGCAGACATTCCTGGCTCTAAAAATAACTTTGTTCATCAGTCATGTCTCCAGGCCCCTCTTATATTACTCTTGCTTTTTATTTTGAAATTTTATTCAAACAAAAATGGAAGATTTACTGTTATGCAGACTACTGCAATACTGTAATAATTGTAAAAATTACATCGGCCCATTCATGACTAAATATTAGAATGCATATTTGGACATTTATTGGACGACATTATTTGTTTAATTTTGAACATCGGCAAAAATCAAACACTTCACGTACTTTGTGCTCTTTTTTCCAGGTTTTTATAGTAAAATTAATCAAAATCACCTCTATTTCTCTAATATATTTTCCATTCTATCAAATGAGACCAAGAAAACTAGAATACAACCATAAATACTATACGAAAATAGACCACAAAGTCAGCAATTAAAAAAAACCCCGGTCAGTTTTTTTTTTTTTTTTTTCTCATTATGCACTGAGTGCTCCAGGATTTTTTTTATATGGTGCACACTGACCACACAGATCCATTCTCTCATGTGGGCCTACCAGCTTTCTCCTGCTGGATTTGAAGCCGCTAGAATTTACGAATATATATACGTCAAACACGGTACCTCGTAAGATGTATATATATGGCCGCGACAGTCGAAGGGTCTATGCAGTTATGACAAACAAGACTGCAGGATTTACAAAATCTACACAGGAGAGTCCTGATGACATTTTGGTCTGAACGGCCATAGACTAAATGGTACAGGTTGAACCAAAACTTTAGTTGGTGTGAATTTTTTTTATAATCCATTCAGCCCCAAGTCCTGGTATTTTGCCCTTACGCTTCAGAGTTTATTTGGCACAAGTTTTAAGCAGTGAAGACAGTTGGGTAATGTCACCATCTGTATACTATCTCCACACCTCATGAATACTTAGGCATTCCCCTATTTTATGCATTTTATAAGAGTATCTGGTGGGGAAATTTAATATTTAGAACCAAGAAATTTATTCAGAAATTATAATACTAACCATAAATTTCTTGAGGAACAGATTTTAAAACTAGAGAATCTAGAAAGTGATCCAAGTTTATTTTCTGTGTAGTCCCTGCCATCACAGCAGCTTCAGAGATTACAGTGCCGGATAGACTCAAGTCCTCAATCCTTATTGATTCATGGATGTTTATATTGCCATACTGGTCCCTTATGATTGGTCTTTTGTTCAGCTGTTAAAATTTAAAAGGTTTAGAAAAGACAAGGGAAAAATTATGAAAATAAAAACAGTATAAATTATCTTCACAAATTTCCATAAACCTAAAACTTTGAAGCAACAATTGTAGTCTTCAACTTTCATTTGCCATTTGGCTGCTACATGCCTAGCGCAATTTACCAGAATTCATGCCATTTAATACTATTAGAATACAAGTACTACATGCTTACATACCATTAGGCCCAAGGCAGCACTAGTGAAATGCTTTTTCCATATGCCTGCCTATGAAATTTATTCTGATTATGGAGATGAATTACTAGATTTAAATTTTTTTTTGCCAGACCTTTAAATTAGGCAAGTTATTGAAAGCAGTGAAGAGTTTATGAGGATAGTGAGGCTCAGGTTAGAGTATGTAGGAGAGGAAGATTTCCCAGTAAAAGTAGGCCTTGGACAGGGATGTGACATCACTGGTTGTTCAATATATTTATAGATGAGGTTGTGAGAAGTGAATGTTCAGGTGCTGGCAAGAGGTGTAGGGTTAAAAGACTGATTCTAAAAGTGAGAGTTGTCACAGTTCTTTGCTGATGACACTGCTTTGGGAAATTCTGAACAAATTGCAAAGGTTAGTGGAAGAGTCTGGTAGGAAATTAAGTGAATATAGGAAAGCAATAATAAAAATTAGATTACAAAAGATTGTACATCAGATTGGAGGACAAGTGAATGCTTCCAGATTTGGGAGTGGAAGTGTTGCCAGATGTGTTTATGAAAGATTAGGCGAATCAGAATTTACAAGGTAAAACATGCCAATTGGTGCACTGGCGAGGAGAAAACTATCCATGGAAGTAAAGAGGGGAATGTAAGAGTATAGTTATATCAATGCTCTTATATTTGTGTAAAGTACAGATGGAGACGCAACAAGAAGGCTGGAGGCAGTGGAGACTTGTCTAAGGGCAATGTGTGGTGTGAATATAATACAGAGAATCTGTAGTATGGAGATTAGGAGGAGGTGCAGGATTACCAAAACTTATTCAAAGGGCCAAGGAGGGGTTATTGAGGTGGTTTGGACATGTAGAGGAAGGAACTAAATAGAATTACTTGTGTATAAATCTGAAGAGTGGAGGGAAGGTAGGGTAAGGGTCAGCCTGGGAAAGGTCGAGGGACAAGGGGGGGGGGGGGGGGTGTTGAAAGGTTGGGTGAGGGGTTTGGACTTCCAGCAAGTAATTTTTGGTAGGAGTGATTGGAGACTGGTTTTTAGGACTGTGCTGTTGGAGTGAGCAGGGTAATATTTATGGAGGAATGTAGGGAATCCTGCAGGCTGGACTTTAGTCCAGGAGATGGAAAGTACAGTGCCTGCACTCTAAAGGAGGGTTAAGGTTGCAGTTTTATAAGTAGTGTAAGCATGCCTCTGGTACGAGTGATGGAGTGAATAATTACGAAAGTTATTTTATTGGGCCACTATGTTAGTGAGAAACTATTAATGTGTTTATTAAAAAATTTTCAAAACCTGGACAATATTGTATTAAACAAGTTCAAAGCTAGACAAGTGCTGACCAAAATGTGCATACTATGGGCCTTTACTTTATATCCTGTAAAGCAGCAATGCGAAAAAATATTCACTGGTCACATGGATCCTCTGGTCTCAACACTGCCTCAATGCAATTTTTTTTTAACTTAAGCCATAAATAAAGTATTAAAATATAGTATGGAACAGCTTCCAAGGACTACCAGTTGCTAACTGTTGGTAAAGAATTTTATAAATATAAAATTGGCACCATTTTGCTAAGTATTGCTGGTTTTTCTTTTGCATTAGAAAAACCTTTGGTTCTAGCATCTAGACCTACTTTTTGGGATGGATGGTGAAAAATTCATACAAGTAAATTCCACAACAAAAGTCCACTACCGGCAAAAACTGGGAGGTTCTATCTGGATCAACTTTAACAGTGAAGGAGGAAACTTAAAAAAATACAGAAGAGGCATTTTACAGCTAGCATTGCCTTCATTGTCAAGTATTTAATATTGATTCATATAGCAAACTTTAAAGTTCCAGAATAATGAAGTGGAAATTTAAAAAAGTTCACACCACTTGCCTCATCACAACCAAGCAGATTGTGTGCTGAAGTTACATCACCAATGAAGGTGGTGTCTGACATGAAGACTGCTGTACCACCCAGATTACCAGCTTGGTCAATTAGTAATATATTGCTCATGTTGATGCCATCTATGACAGGAGAGGACAAGTAGGCTGCAAAGAAAGGAAAATTCAATTTAGAGGGTGAAAAATAAAATGGTCCATTCAAGGTTAATTTTACTGAACCTTTCAAGCCAAGAGTTATCTATTCAAGAACACGCTACACTTACTGCTTGGGTCAAGTCAGATACCCAACATGTTGCCCCCTAGTCATTCTACCATAAGGCAATCTAGAGAACCAAAATTCGTTTTACATAGAAAAGCATCCCAACCCTTCAAGTAAAAATTATGTACAAGGATTTTCTAGCCAAGGCAGTAGCAGCAACATGAAGGTGGAATTAGTGGGAGAGGAAAAAAACAGATGGAAAAAATGTAGGAAGTTTTAGATTAACAGGTAATTAAAGTATTCCTAAGACAAAAAAGTCACCAATGAAGAACAAAGGCAAGAACCAAGAAGGTAAACATGGAAAGTTACAGACTACAGCAAGAATGCACAATAAGGGATGCCTACTATGAGTTATTACATTTACTGAATGTACTATTAGCTCTGGCCTATAACATAGCACGGCCTGTCAGAATATGCACCGTCGTATCAGCAAGATCCACACCATTCGTTTTTAAATTATGCAAGAATGGATAGCAATCACTATTTGAAAATTTAGTATAGGTTAATAACATTCAGGTAACAGCTTAAGTTATACCGAGCAAGTTTTTTTTTTTTTTTTTTTTTTTTTCTCCAAATGGGCCATTCGAGTCATTCGGTAGCAGGATCTATACATCTGCCATGTTAAAAGACATTCATGCTATTTTGAACTTTCCAGTCTACTCAAATTTTCTTTACTTGCCCAAGTTGTCAGTGTCATCCCCCTCCCCTTGAAGTGGGGAAGATATTAAGGGAATTTTTAAAAGGTTAACCAAAAAGTCATTCAAGATACTAGAATATTAATTTTAGTATGTAGTCATTACTAGAATACTCTCACCTTCAGTCAAATTAAATTTT